ACTGGGCCAGCGCCCCTGGGGAGTCCAGGCGGGGACCTGGCAGTCCCGGGGCCAGGGCCCACTCCTTAGAATCACCGAGGGCTTAACGAAGAGAAAGAGGCTCTTGGGCACTCCCACAAACCACCACCAGCCATCCTCATCCTCCAGCCAGAAACGCATTCTCAGCTGAACTGTGGGGGAAAAGCTGCCAGCAGTTAGCAAGAATCATTATTGTTGCTAATTTAGAAAATTTGGGATTTGTCCAGGATAAAGCTGGGTGGATCTCATTCCTGCGCATTTCTTCATGGATGATTTTTCATTCTGAATAGCTATTACTATCCCATCAATAACAGTTTTTCTCTTAAGATTTTATTTCTTTTTTAGAGAGAGGAGAAGGGAGGGAGGAAGAAAGTGAGAAAAACATAGATCGGCTGTCTCCCACATGCCCCCGGCTGGGTACCTGGCCCACAACCCAGGCATGTACCCTAACCAGGAATCGAACTGATGACATTTCGGCTTACAGGCCAGTGCTCAACCCGCTGAGCCACACCAACCAGGGAGGACTTTCTGTTTTTTTTGTTTCAAAGTCAGGAGTAAAGAATATAGAGAGGTTCTGTTCCCAAGGCCTCAGTATGCTGGTAGACAGAACAGACAGAAACAAGCTCAAGTCCAGAACTAGCTATGCTGCACTCACAGTGAGGAGAAGGAGGGGCCCCATCAAACTCAATGGCCAATGAACCTTCAACTCACATACATTTGATCATGTGACAAATCAGCTATATGGCTGCACAAACAGACTTTTTTACTCTCACTCTTCCAACAAATACTTCCTGAGCCAGGTGCACTGCGCTGGCACCAAGAACCCAGAGACTGTGTGTGTGGGCCCCACCCTTAAGGAGCTCAGTTTACTGAGCATAACAGATAGTGAGTAAATCAACAGTTATTCTGATAAGTGCTTTGGGAGCGAGAGAAATGCAGGGTGTTCTGGGAGCCAGGAGGAAGGTCATCTCTAGGTCACAGAGAAGTGCAAGACAGGGAAGGAAGGTGTCCAGAAGAATGGAAATTTGAGCTGAGTTACCAACATGGGGTAACAGCAGGGGCGGGTCATTCCCAGGAGAAGGCCAGCCCCGGCAAAGGCGCCCAGAAGTTATGGCTGTTGGAAAGTTGGGCTGAGGTTAGAAATATGGATTAGGGAAAAAGTGCAATGAGGAAGGTGGCCACAGGCCAGATTATGAAAAGGATTGCAGGCCTGCTGACGGAGCTTAGGTTTTATTCTAGAAGCAACGAGAAGCCTTTGGGGACTTTTAAGCAGAAGAAATCCACGATCAGATGTGTGAGTTAGAAACATCATGCTGATAAGAGTGTGGGGGTGGAACGAGGGAGGACAAAGATGGACACAGAACGACCAATGAAGAGGCTGTTTTAAAAAAATCCATGTGGTGAGTCCCTAAATGAAGGAGTGCAGAGGGGGAAGGAGTGAGGTGACAAATTAGAAAGATGGGCTCTTCAGGATGTGGCAACTGATGGGTGGTGACAGTTGAGGGAAAGGACAAAGCCAAGGACTACTCCTACAGTAGACAGAACTGAGGGGGTGTAGTCCCACCCAAGACAGGCAACAGACAGACAGAGACGCATCTGGCACCAGGAGAGTGATGAGTCTGAGGTGCCTGCAGGGCAGCAGCTAGCAGTGCGGCTGGGAGGAGGTTCTGGGCTAGATATGCAGATCTGGGTGACTCCAGACGGAGGTAAGCAGTGGATGAGCTCACCCGGGGAGAGCACTTAGGGTGACAGGAAAGGGACCAAGCAAAGCCTTATTAAGCTAAGGACAAGGAAGAGAAAACTGGCAAAGCGGACTGCAGAGGCTGAGGTCTGCGAGGCTGGAGGGGACCTAGGAGAGGGCAGACCAGACTGGGAGAGTGCGCAGACCAAGGAGGGGAGGGGAGTGCTCAGCTCGGGCCGGAGACACGAGTCTGAAGAGGGAGCCCTTGCCCAGGGGAGGGGAACAGTTAGCTGGGCGTTAGCAACCACAGCAAGTGAAGGCACGAAACCAAAGCATCGAAGGCTCAGTTGACATATCTATTGTCAGCTCAGTAGCATTATTATGACATTTTCTCCCGACAGCCTCACTGTCTCACTTCATTTCGTGGCGAGGACTTCCCGATGACCCTACCTACACTATCAGCCCTATCACCCTCCACCCTTCCTCTCACTTTATTTCAGTCCGAGCATCATCGTGCCCGCCTGGCTTTCTGTCACTGCGCATCTCATCCGTCTGTGCTGTCTGACTCCCCTACCAGGATGTCTGCCTAATGAGGACCGAGCACTGGGCCTGTGCCACTTCTATCACCACAGTGCTGAGAGCAGTGCCTGGCACACAGAGGGGAGGCACCTTGTCCCAAGTTGCCTGGTTCATTAGAAGCAACTAACATTTAGTGACAACATACCATATGTCTGATACTATATAGATGCTGGGGGCACAGAACTAAACAAGACAAAACAGGACCCTGTCCTCAAAGCTTGAAGTCGGAGGTGGGCAGAGAGAAACACCAGCACTTAAACAGAAAGTAGGTTATAATTGCCTTAGAGCCAGGACTGGAGTCTGACTGTCATGTTTCCTTTTCAAGCCCAAGGCTGCCACCTTCCCCAAATGAAGGGAGACTTTATCTAGTGAAACAGTTAAAGTGAGTGTGAAGCGGGTCTTCGTCTCTTCCAGAGATCCCACACTCCTTCCACCCTTTTAGTAATCGCCTAGGAAGTGGCAACACCCACTAGAGTCTCTGAATATTTAACCGGAAGAGCTCAATCTGTCTCTAGTACTTCTGTGTATGGAGGAGGAGGAGGAATTCTAGACTTGCATGGGGAAAACAGGGAGCAGCATAAACTAGGGGTCAGACAGAGCTGGGTTCAAATTCCCCGGAACCTTGGGCAGGTTACTCAACCTGTGATTTGATTTCCTTATTGCTAAAATGAAAATACTACTTCCCATGTCACAGGTTGTCGCAAAGATAAAATAAAGTGACAGCTACAGAGCACTCTCAGCACTGTACCAGGTATACAGTGAGTGTTCGATAAATGGTGGCTCTGAACCAGTGACACGTGTTCCTTTTATTACTCTGTTAACTTCTATATTCACATAAACCATGCCAAACTAAAGAAGGTGCATTTGAAATGATCAGAGCATAAATTGATATCTAGTTGACTGAATTACTATACTTGATAAGATTGTGCAGTAAGAAGTTTCATCCCAATTTCTTGGTCCTCCAAACTTAGGCAAATGCAAGTATTTCCCAAACAGATCACATCTTGTCTCGTGGCAAGAGTCCAAACATGGGCTGGATTCCGTGGTGCAAGTTGTGGCAGAGCTATGAACACCACACCTCAAAGGGAGCATAAGAACACAAGGCGAGCCCAATGTACACACAAACTCCCAAACACAGCTCGTTTCCAGAGAAGGAAGTGAGAACTGGTTACAGCATGCTTTGCCTGCCTCAAAGCTAAAGAAAAGGTTATTTTGATGTGCAAACACTGAAATCGTATGCGTCTCCCTTATGCGTGGTCTCCGTTACTAATGTTTCTGGTTCCTTTCTTATTCCTTTTGTCTGTCGGACCCTCTGCAACCCGGCCTCCTCTCCCCTCTTCCCCACTCGTGGCATCACACATCACATTTCTCAAGGCCATCTGTAACCCCCTTGTCACAGATTTGGCAGCCTTCCTTCCCGTCCCTTCTCCCTCGTCTCTTCCCTTCCTGAGACGCTCTCTTCCTTGGCCTCTGGATCTCTCCCACCTTCTTTCCATCTCAGAGTTACTGCACGCCCTAGGGCTCAGCTCTCTGCTCACGATGGGGAGAACTTATTTAATCCGAAGGCTCCTGTTCTACCTCTCCACGCCTGCCCTTCTAAGTCCAGGTCTCAGTCCACATTTCAGGTTGTCTACTGGACATTCCTATGAACCACTGTCCTTTCAATTCAGTGAGTCTGAAACCAGACAGGTCAACCACTCTTCACCACACCCAATATCCACATTTTTGTCAAGGGTACCATGTAAACTCCCAAGTTTACATTTTCATCTTCTTTGGCTCCTGTCTTTAAAGTCTAAGAAGACTGTAAATCCTACTGTTCTCCCTTTACAATAGCTCAATAGCTCTTCAACTGGTCCTTTGCTCTCATTTTAACCATTGTTAACCACATGACCTCATGCCTGGATTGCTGCCACTGCCTTTGAATAGGTCCCATGTCTCTTGTCCAGGTACCAGATGAATGTTCCTAACATGTCACTTCTGCCATTTCACTTACTTGCCCAAAATAACCTTAATGGTTCCCCATGGCCTACAGGAAAAGGTCCAAGTGCCTTAGCCCAGTACTCGGGGTTCAGAAAAGGAGTGGGCAAACTACAGCCCGCAGACCAAATGTAGCCCACTTCCTGTTTTGTAAATAAAGCTTTATTGGAGCACAGCCACACCCGTCATTTATGTATTCTCTACGGCTCCTTTCATGCTTCAATGGCAGAGCTGAGTAGCTATGACAGAGACCACAGGGACCATGAACCCGAAACTATTTACCATTTTATCCTTTATAGAAAAGTTTGCTGACCCTGGTCTAGAAAAAATCAGACACCAGCAGATCCTGCTCAAGTTCTTGCCCATGATGCCTTTGGATGACGTTTCTGTTCCTGAGGGTCTGCTGCTGAGCCCACTTACATTATCTTACACCCACTATCTCAAGCCCCAAAAGTTTATTTCTCTCTTCCTTTGACTATTCCTTCAAACAAAGCCAAAGCTCCGTCCACCTCTCCATGAGGTCAGTGGCACCTACCCCCTCCGACCCTGGATGTGCCTCCCCCGGCCCCCTCTCCACAGCCACCACAGAAGTCTACCCTGAGATTCCACTTCTCCCGTGGATCCTTTCCACCTCTACTGTGGGCTTCTCTAGGGGCCAGGCTTGGTAACTTCCACAGAGCAGTGCCAATGATAACCACTGATCCAAGACAGCATAATTTGATAAGAAGGGGTCAAACAAACTTACCAATGAAGGCCTAGGATTCCACATTTGAAGAGTTGAGCTTGGGTCCAAAAGCATGCACTCTAGCCAGCACTACCTAAAAGCCAATGAAATAAGAGTTTAGCTTTATAAAAGAATATTTATACATTTTCTTTAAACTTAACAACTCCCAATAAGTTTTGCTTTACCCTCCTCCCAGGATGTCCATCTCTGCTTCTCTGCCTAGCAAATGCTGCTCATCCTTCAAACCCACTGTGCAATCGTTCCCTGGAAGCCTCCCCAGTGTCCCAGGCAGGTGGGGCACACCCTCCTCTCAGCTCCCATGGAACTCTGGTGAGATGTTTACGGCAACACTTTGGCACAATGCAGCGTAATTTCTTATTTAGGAATGGGGTTTCCTACACTGTAGGTTTATCAAGAGAAGAGATTTAGTAAATTCATTCCTTCCCTTACCCCCACTGCCTAGCAGACTACAGGTATTTAGATAGTCCTCAGTAAATATTTATAAAAAGGGTGGAAAAATAGTCCACTCAATTCATTAACACGTGCCTGGGTATCTAACTTTCTGCTGGCCTACAATTTTTACCACACAAATGCATGCCTCAATCCCACAGCCTTTAATAGGCAATGGTTTAGCAGGAAGGATTAATGATATTAATCTTCTAAATGCACTCCTTTGGAATGACACTCCCCTGGGCAGGAACTTCCAGAGGCTCCCAGAATCTAAGAAGACAAGCCCAATTCTACAGCCAGGCTGCCAGGCCTGCACTGACTCGCCCGGTCTGATGCTGCAAACTTAGCTGGCATGGTCTCCCCCAAAGAACCCTACAATCCAGACAAAAAGGACCGATAGCCAGTCCCTTCCCACCCAGCATCCCTGCTGGCTAGATGTATTCTGCTTCTCTCCACATCATTTCCTTCTACTAAAATGCCATCAATTTCAAACATTATATTCCCAACTAAGTTCATGGGGTGGGGGAGGGGGAATAATAAGGCTGTGTTCTCTTTGATTTTTCTTATTGTGATAAAGTACAGATAACAGAATAGATGAGCTTAGCCATTTTTAAGTATACAGCTTGGTGCTATTAAGTATATCCATATCGTTGTGTAACCATCACCATTCATTTCCAGAACTTTCATCTACAAAACTGAACCTTTATACCTTTTAACAACAACTCCACCATCTCCCTTCCTCCCAGTCCCTAGCACCCAAAAATATTTGTGGAATGAATGAATAAATGAAGACATCAAGGAATTTGACCTCAGTTTGCCCCATAAAAGCCAGAAGTACTCTCCCCTTCTGCTGGACTCCCATGGTACTATCTTCATGCCTTAGACTTATTTCAATCAAAAAGTGACCCTTTTTGCACGATGGTATTCTCCCTCATGGCAGGAACAATGACTTACTTGAAAGGTTAAACTTGGGTCCCAAAGCATACACAGACCTACCCTCCATGTTGCTAGACCCAATGGGCAGGTCTTGGTCCTCTTTCTACAGCTTTTTGCTACCAGCGAATCATTCCCTCTTGTTTGATTACTCTCTCCACCTGGCTTCTGTGATAGCACTCTTGATTTTCCACCCCCCTCCCTGACTGTTCTTTCCGTTTGTTGTTTTTTCCTTATGTCCCCACCTCTTAATGTCAGAGTATCCCTGGGCTCCATCCTTGTTCTCATCTATTCTCTGTATACCTTCAGTCACCCCTGAGTGATCTCATCTAGACTCAGGGATTCAAATGTTAGGTGTATGCTAATGATGCCCAGATTTCTCTCCAAGTCTGGATCTTTCCTCTGAACCCCTGTTGTCTGCTTCAGGTACAATGCCAAGTGGACAAGAAGTCTGTGCAAGGCATGTTTGACATTGCAAGCTTAACATGTCTCACTCAGACCCCTTGACCTTCCTCCCAACTTACTCTTCTCAGAACCTTAACCATCCCAGTTTAATCCAATGGTCCAGGCCAACAGATTTGAAGTCATTGTCACCTCTCTTTCTTATTCCATATCTAATCCTCACTGATTTCTACCCTTACCTCCACTATTACCATCCTAGATTACTGATTGCCACAGCCTCTAAGACAATGCCTCTAAGAGTTTCCCTGTGTCCCTGCTTCTACTCTTGACAGCATTCTTACCTCCACACCTGGCCCATTCCCAAGAAGGGAGGGACTCTGTAACAACGTAAGTCAGATTATGTCATTTTTTATTTTTGCCTAAAATCCGTAAGATTCTTCCTAGCGAGGACAATGCCAAGGGAATGAATGTTGCTAAAGGAGCCCTGGGGCAGGCTGGTGGGGACAGTAGGGACTGCAGGCCAGTGACCTCTTCCCATTCATCTATTTCTTGACTGGAAGTCGTGACTATCTCCTACTATCTGATTTCTTAAAGAAAGAAAACCTTTTAAAGGGAGAAAAATATAATCAATCAGCTTCCTTTCTGAGTTAGTGTACCACCAGAAGCCAATAACGCTTACGATTCTCAGGAAGCAGTAAGATTTGTCAAGTGCACCGCCACTTAAGAACTGGAAGGACAGATAAAGTGCTTCTCAGATAAGATCAAATTCAAGGAGTTCATCATCACCAAGCCCTTACTATATGAAATGTTAAAGGGACTTATCTAAGAAAAAGAAGTTAAAGAAACATAACAGTGAAAGGACAACAAACTCACAGTTATTAACAACCACACCTAAAACAAAAGCAAACTAAAAGGACAGCTAGATCAGGAGTGGAAACATAGAAATGAAGATCTCAAGGAGGGTTAGCAACAGGGGAGTGGGAGGAGGAGAAGGGGGGAGAAGGTACAGAAAATAAGTAGCATAGACAGTAGATAGAAAATAGATGGGGGGCAAGAATAGCATAAGAAATATAGAATCTAAAGAACTTGAGACACATGGACATAAACTAAAGGGGGGTAATGGTGGGGATGGGGGGGTAGGGTGGAGGGGAATGAAGGGGGGGAATAGAACAACTGTAACAGCATAATCAATAAAAAAATTAAAAAAAAAAAAGAACTAGTTCCCAAACATAAAGGCAGCCTTCCAGGGACAGTCACTACGCCCTTGAGGTGGTGGTGAACCCTCCTTAAGCCCCTCCCTCCCTGCTCCCTCACCAAGCCCCGTGTGCCTAATTGTCTGCAGTCTCTCTCTCTTCCATGTTGCTGACGTGGTGGCTGGAGGTGGACTCCAAATGAATTAACTAAGATCTCATCAGTTCTCTTTAGAGCTACAGCAGCCTCCAAACCGTCTTTCTATTTCTAGTCGTTTACTCATTCCAACTACAATCTCATACAATGTCTGGGATGATTTTAAGTAAACCTAGATTTGATCAAGTCCCCAGCTCAAAACTCTCCAAAGACTTCTTACATTGCCATACTATATATTCTTCAAGAACCTATTACAATAAGCCACAGTAAATATTCTCTTTTTTTTAAACCTTCCCTGGATGCTTTTCTTCTGCATTGTTCCTAAAAGGACCTTGCTTGCTCCAAAAGGGATGGAAAAGTGATCCAGCCCAGGTTGGAATGCTCTAGCCCCTAGAAACAGCGACTGGTCCAAAAGGATAAGCCAACCAGAACCTTTCTCTGGACTTGACATATGGATGCAGAGGAAGGAATTCTCCCTTCACTGGAAGTGTTAACTGGGGCTGTTAGCAGGGAAGCCCCCACAGGGAGGGCGGCCTGTCTGTAGTGGAAAAGCCTGATGCACACACAGAGAACGGAGGGCAAGGAGCTAGACAGACCACCGGCAGCATCACCGCCCACGTGAAACTTCGTTTTGTGAACTCCTACAGCCTCCTTCCCGGTTATGGAACCAGCAGTTCCCTGTTATTCCTCAGTTGCCTGCAGTCCCAACAGGCCCACCGTGCTGTTTCCTGTGTCTATGCCTTTTCCCATATTGTCTCCTCTGCCCACAGTGCGCATTCTTGGATTTGTACACAGCAGTCAGACTTCCTCTGTGGAGCCGTCCTTGAAGGGAAGCACCGTTAGTCCAAATTTCCTGGTGTGCTCTGAAATGCCTAGAATAAACCCCCTCTGTTGTACTTACACTCCTCCCCTGCCTTCCCCATCTTATAGCTAGTTGCCCACACTAGAAACTGCAAACCCAACTTCATTTCTTCACACCTCCACATTGCCCATGTAGACTTTCCTCGTCTTCCTTCCGCCCCATGTCCACTGTCACAGCCTAGAACCACTTTATCTCGTGCCTGGACCCAGGCAACAGCCTCCTGGTCTCCCTGCCTCTCCCCTAACACAACCATTCCTCCCCATTGTTGTAAAGTTGAGCCTCCAATACCCTGTAAAAGGTCAAACCCCTGCTATTAGGGCCCTCCAGAACTTGGCTCCAGCCTATGTTCTCTCATCTCTCCCAACCACTTCCGCTTCCAAGAAGATGGTATTCCGCCTGCTAAGTACAACTAAAAACCTGGATGTTACATAGAAAACAAACATGAGAAGACTCTGAAAAGCAGAGTGAAGAGGGCAGATCTTTTAGAGACCTCAAGACCCCGGGAAGAACACTGTGGTGGGTTCCCTGTATTTTTTTACTGCCTCACATATCCAAGACTTGAAACCAAAGAAGCCGGTGACCTGCAAATGTCAATCGGCACAGACAAAAAAAGGGGGGGGGGGCCACCAAGGAAAGCTTGCTCCATCCAGCAAGACAGAAAACTTTTAGATAATAATTACTCTATTTCAGCCAAGCGGCACAGAAAATCTCATGTCCTACCCACACCCATACCAGCAAAGTGCGAATGACATTTGGAGAAAACCCAGCGCTAACAATATACTTAATGGGGAGACTGAACGCCTTTCCCCCCGAGATTGGGACAGGCAACGATGTCCACTCTCACCACTCTTACTGAGGACAGTACTGGAAGTCTCAGTTCAAGGGGCGACAGAAAGAAATAAAAAACATACCGATCGGAAAGAAATGAATAAAACAATCTCTATTTGCAAATGATATGGCTGTCTAGGTAGAAAATCCCGAGGAATGTATTTATAAAAATGTCTATGACTAATCAGTGAGTTTAGCAAGAATGTAGGATAGAGGATAAAAATAAAAAATAATTGTATTTCTATATACTAGCAGTGAACATGTGGACACTA